ACTAGAGAAAAGGAGACAGAAAGTTAAGATCTAAAGGCAATCCTGCCAGGCCCTGGAGAAGTCAGGCAGCGACACTGGAAGAACGAAGCTTCTTTTGGTGCAGTTCCCTTCTTTTCCAGACCATCGGCATGTCTGGCTAGGGCTACTGAATTAACTTCTTTCAATCAGCTAACTTTTTCAGCTGTCTTAACCACTGCTTCCTGCACAATTGATTTGAATCGACTGCACAGTCAATCTGACCTCTCATTAAAACAGATTGAAAACAATGAATTGGACTTTTTCTCTACCTGTGCCTCAGCAGCCTCGAACTGTGGGTAAACTCTTGGTATCTTAGCAGCAGATTCCTCCCAATGTATGTGCTCTGGGCCTGAACGGGGCAAAGAGGGACCCATGTGCATGGCTTCTGGGCTTGGGATGGGGTGGGGAGCACACAAGGACAGCAGGTAACATACCAGGGAGAACTGCCAAATCCAGGAATTTTTGAAAAGTATTTGCATAGCTGACCTGCTAAGTCAAGAATGAACCTTGCAAGCCTCATGTGTCCAAGGTAACATCCACTTTCTAGTTTGAAGCATATCTTGCCCACAGCACGTGAGCACGGCACATCTGTTGAATGAGTGCGTATGTGCGTGGCTCCAGGCGGCAGGAGGAAACCAGGCATCAGATCTGGGCAACACTATCCACTTTTCACCTGATTACCTTCCTCTTTTTACCATTTTTGCTTCTTTCTGTTTTCCTGGTGTCCTCACCTGAACCCCTCCTCCATAAGCCTTCTTAAATTCTTCCACAATTTCACTGCTTTCCCTACATGCGTTTTTGGTTTTTTTCCTTAAAGAAAATGGAAAACATGCAAGACCGAGACCTTCAGTCCAAGACAAGACGCTTTTTCTTCCTTTCCTTCCAACTGAACCGCTAGATTTGAAGCAAAAACCAAATTGACACTCTGATTAGATTCAATTCATTATAATGAGCCCACAGTGCTTCAAAAAATGGAGTGTTTGGGGTGATCTGACAACTCATTGCCCAGGAACCTAGAGGGAGAGAACTCACTAAGTCATCCAGCAATGTGGTCCTGCAGTTATGTGGTCTGTGAGGAAGAAACAGAGCTCGGGCTTATAATTAATTTCTGGAGGGAGAAAAAGTGGAACAAAGTGCTCCCTTGATTCTTCTAGAAATAAGCAGAGGAACCCAACGATGAAGGACCCTTTTGATAACTGTAGGAGTCGCTTCCTAGTGCTTTTCCTTTTTCCTGAAAACATTTGCTCAGGTTTTTCTTCCCACAACTCTGAGCACTTCCCTGCCCCCACTCCCACATTCGTCCATCTCCATGGAAGAGCAGGAAGCCCCATGGCAGCTCTGACTTCACCAACGGCATCTACAGCATCTTCAAAGCTTCCTGACCCATCTGTTAATTAGCCATTTAAAAAAATTAAAAAGCCACACATTTCCTCCCTCAGAATGAATCTCACTTCCAAGACACTAATGAATCAACTCAGGGTGACGAGGAACAGGTCTGAATGTGAGACAGCTAGCTCGGAACCGAATGTCACCGGGGAGCCAATCTCCCAGGACATTTCCTGGGCTGAGCCCCTGCCCCTGGAGGACTTCAACAGCCTCTCACTGAACAAACAGCCCCAGGAAAGCATTGCAGAAACTGCTTGTGAAACATTAAAATCTGTGGGTGCCTGCGGTCCATCGACTTAAGCCTAGGCCTGGCCAGGTGAAGAGAAGGGAAAGGTGAGTTTCAGATCCTGGTGGGAAATGAGGTTCCGGTTGGGAAAGGTGGGCACCTGACATCCAGGGGGCTCCCCAGGTCCAGAGCACAGCGTCCCTCTGCCTGCGTCTTTCTCTTCCCTGGAGTCCAGCTCAATGTGACTATGCTCATCTGTTAGAATCACCAGAGAACTGATAGTTTCCCCTACAGACCCCTAACTTCTCACACAGAAGCAGGATGACAAGCTCTAACCACTTACGGAAAAGTCTCAATCTGTTCTTCCCTGAAGGGGCTGGAGAGGTCAAAGGAAGCCCTGCCCTAAGGAATGCATGTGCGCGGCCAGCCTGGGAGCCCCAGGGGGAGGCAGATGGCTGATCGCAGGGCAGCCTCCTTCTCTTCACCCCTTCTAACACGCCCACAGATATCCTTTCAGTGAGGCAGTTCTCCTCCTCACTCAGCCCCTGCTTGCCCAACTACATCTTCAAAGAGAATCACATGAGAAGAAGCTCCTTGACTTTTTGGAAAGGGAACATCTTGGCTGAAGTATTTCAAGAAATATGTAACCGCACATCCCACTTTCTCCAGTGATGTCTGAAGAGTATACCTTCTTTCTTCTCCCCCATTCTCCCTGGGGAAACTCATCATGTGTAAATATCTCTTTTCCCCCACTCTCTCTTTTTCCCTACCACAAATCCCTAACAAGTCATCCTGCACAATAAACTCCCCGGAATAGCAAACAGCGACCTTTGAGGTGCAACAAAGTGAGACGAGTCGTGGTGACACGCACACGCAAGAATCAGCGAGCAGTTCCCTGCAATGTGCACATTCACCCTGACACACCTGGGAAGAGGTCAAGATTGGATGTTGCTGTGTCTGAGTTATCCAGTATTGAAAACTAAGTTTCCCCGGCCTGCCCAAGGTCACTCGTGGAGTGTCCTCAATGGATCTCTCATGCTCTGTGCCCTCCCCGCCAAACACAGAGACAGGCATTGTCCCCTACCTAACAAGCACCAGTACGATGGTTTCCAAAGCTCTGATCAGGCGAGACTGCAGCTGCTGGAAGAGGTGCTGTGAACTGAATAAAATCAGGAGGTGAATTTGAGAGAGAAACATCCCATATTTACATAATAGTCTGAGGGCTGAAATTCATCTCCCTTCCCATTTACCTCTCTTCCCTGACCCCAGAAAGAAAATGCCCCCAATAGCATTACCACTGAGCCATACACCCATACACAAACTATTTATCCTAGTTTTGGGACAGGTGGCCAGTAGGGAGGGGAGAAAACACCACAAGGAACAGTGACATCTCCAGGGGGACAGGCCAGTAGAACACAGGTCAATGCCAGCATCCAACTGCCATCAGTAGCCTTCCATGTAATGATGAATAAACTCAGTAGGAGGTAGCAAGGTCAGGGCAGGGGTCAGCTGTGTCTAAGAGAGGAGAGAACAAAGGCTCAGAGAAGAAAGAAACCCAAAGGAAGGTTTGTGGGGATCAACCAGAAAGAGGCCACAGCCAGAGTAGAAGGTGTGATGGAAGCCAGGACCAGGGGAGAAGAGAAAAGGAGACAACACTCGGGGCCCGGAAGCAAAGGCAGAGGGATGTAAGGACCAGGTTCATCTGTTTCAGGAAGGTGCTTGCCCACAAGCAATGCCTTCTCTGCTTTCCAAGATGAGCCGAAAGAGAGAATTCTTCATCAAATAAGACCCCGGGAGTGTCTTGTCCTTATTTTGCTGTCCATCCCACCTGCCTTCTGCATTTCAGAACCGGCACTGACCCCAGATCATTTGTCACAATTCCTCCATCAGTTCCCAGAACCAGTCCAGGCACAGGCTCCCTACCTGAGAAACAAGATGGGAGTTGAATGGAAGGCAGTGGCACCTTAGGGTGATGAGTGAGGGTTATAAATGGGACTCCCAGAAGCACCTTAATTCCAACACCAGAGTTTGTCAGTGCCGAAGTATCCACACTTTCGGGATATTGACTCAATAAAACCTACCAGGGAGTATCATCTTTTCTCAACATTCACAGTATCAAGGGGGGAAAAAAAATCATGCCTAGAAATTTCTATCTGCCTCTCTCTTTTCATCAAGGTGCAGGTGATTAATGACCACAGCAGTGAGGGAAGAAGGTTTTCAGGCCAAAAGGATAACAGCGGAGTGCAGAGATGAGCTAAATGTGTATGGTTCAGGGTGGGGTGCCCGCTGGGCAAACTGAGAAGCAGGACTGATGTGTGTGTGTGTGTGGGGGGGGGTCTTGGTTACTAGAGCAATGCACACACCATATGCCAGAAATGGAGGCATTTCCTAGGGCAGGGTTTGTTCCCTAAAAGGACTCTGTTGAACCACATCCAGCCATTCACCATCACAAGGGGACTGGAAGCTGAGCTAAGTTTATATCCCCTGGGTGCTTCATTCCTGGAGTTGTAAAAAGAGGCTGGTTTCCTGTTCTCTGGGCTTTGACTTCCCAAAGGCACTCACTGGGAGCTAGAGTGGTCGGGTGGGAGGCAGTCCGGGTGAAACCATGGACTACCATATTTTGAGCTCTTGGCAGAAGTTTTGGTAGGAGGCAGCCCCCACCTCCTCCCTAACGTAAGCAGTGAAAGATGCCCAGCAGGTTTAACACAGCAAGAAGTGTTAACTCGGGGAGTTCTGCCTACAGGGTTTAAAAGCACAAGTCCTCCAGGCTCAGCAGGAAAGATAAGCAGCCCACTTGGCAGGATACATGAGGAGACACCATCTGCCCTTGGTCAACATGGAACAGATAAAGCTTTATTCCTTCTACCCCCACCCTCCCCAGGCAGCCTTTGCTTATCTCCCCCATCCTAACACCATGCAGTTTACACTAAATCACTTGGTACACTTTTCGGAAAGGTTCTAACAGTGGTCAACGTCCTATATTGAAGATGCTCTGATTTGATTCAGAAAATCAAATGTAATAAGAGCCTACACCAAAGTGCCCATATGCCATGAAAACTAAACCCTGGATCCCCATCTAGGAATATAGAATTTGTAAAATTCCTACACTCATACTTCATGGACTCCGCCAATCTTTACTTTGCTTTGTAAATGCCCCTACTACCTCAAGCATGTGTCCCGGTTCTGAAGAAATGGAGAAGAGGGTACAAGAGGCGCCGATTTATTGCATGTCAAAGAAGCAAGGGTGAAACTGACTTTAGAGAGTCAGGAGAAACGTGGTGATGCCACGAATGACTAGGACAAGGGAAGCACATTAAGAGGGTGAGGCTGCGGGGTAAACTGGGGGCGAGCACCCGGCAGAGGCTCTCACCTGTGGATGTTCATCTCCCGCGGAGGGCGGTGGGCCTTGTCATAGGAGACCTTGGCGAAGACACCGGCCACAATGACGAAGGCGATCACCCCACAGGTGATGTAGACGGTGAAGTTGGTCTTGTCCTTCTCCGGGTCGTACTTGTTTTCGGGCCCCGGCGACACCACCTTGGTGCTGGGCGTCTGGACCCACCCCGGGCTCTGGTAGTTGTTGCACTGGCGCTGGTCCAGCTTCTCGTGGCGTTTCTTGCAGCAGAAGCGGTAGTAGCAGGTGCCGCAGCAGTACAGGTAGCCGCTCTCGCTGTTGTTACACTCGAACTCCTTGTCGTACTGGCCGCTCACGTCGTAGTAGCCCCAGCACGTCTCGTAAGTGACGGCGGAGCTGGCTGCCGCCACGGCCGCCGCGGGCTGTGCCCGCCGGCTCCCCGCCTCCGGGACGCCGGGCGCTCGGGCGGTGCCGTTCAGCTCGCGGCCGCCCCGGGCCAGGGCGCCCCCGGGTCGCCGGCCCCCGACGGCAGCGGCGCCGGCGCCGGCGC